GACCCACAGTCCTGGACCTCGGTGCCTCCTGGAGCCCTGGCTGGTGTCCTGGCCCACTTCACAGCCCTGTTAGGCTGGTGCTACCAGGGCCACCTTGAACCACTTAGGAGCCAGGAACCTTGCTCCTTGAGCACCTGTCTTTTCCTCTGTATGACCAGGTGCACCTAGCAGATGATTTGGGCTTGTGGGAAGTAACCAAATCCTTCTGCGCCTTAGTTCCCCCCATGTAAAATGAGGCAGTTTGTGACCAAATTCAGCTCTAGCATCCTGTGACCTTGGCAGCCCCTCTAGAGGGGAGGTTTGACAGGAGTTACTGCAGAGCTTTTGTCCTCCATGGCCAGTCAATAACCTCTGTGTCCAGGACTCTAGTGAGGGACTGGGGTGACACAGCTCTCAGCCTGCCCCAAACCCTCCCAAGGAATGCCTTCTGGGACCAAGTGAAGAAAGAATGGAGTATGGACAAAAGAAAGAGCCCAACCCCCTCCTCTCTGCACAGTCTGGCCACTTATAGACATAGATTAATTGGGTCAGGGTGGTAATGGGCCTCTAGATCAAGCCAAGTGAGGTACAGTTGGACCAAGCTTGACGTTTAACCTGAAGAGCTTCCTAAGAGATCTTATCAGAGATGGAAAGGCATGGAAGAAGGTAGAAGACCCCTATCACTAGAGCTCTGTCACTGGGGCTAGGCTATCTCTTCACTGGGCCATATGACCATATAATCTCTTCTACCCCAATCATGTGATGACTGTGTGAGCTTGGAACACGAAGTCTAGTTTGAAGCTCTTCATGTTGATGAAAGTGGAGAAACTTCCTATGCCCAGCACCTAATGAGAGTTTGTGTGATGTAATACGATGTACCTATTATTAAAAATACATGAACTGCATTGATGCGGACAGGTATACATAAAGCAATATGAAACCAGGAACAGTGCATGGTACCCAGTGCACTCACTGGTTAGAGCTCCAGAAGACTGTGCACATTAGGGATGAGGGGAGTTGGTATATTTTTAAGAAGTATTTACCTAAAACCACTTAGTACCTACTTAGTACTATGGAATTAGTTTATAACAAGAAAATTGCTCTCCCCATTCCCCACTACTGCTCCCTTGCTTCAGTCATTTTCAGTTCTCTTAGCTATTCTTTTTTAAGTAATCTGCATCCAGTGTGGGGCTTGGACTCACAACTCCAAGATCACGAGTCACATAGTCCACCGACTGAGCCAGCCAGGTGTCCCCATTAGCTATTTATTTTAAAAATATGCTTATACTACTCTTGCTTGATTTATCATTCTAGACACGATCTATTGGCTCCCTGTTGTAAAAGGTGATGCTTTAGCTCTCTTGTGGAGTACTTTGCCCCCTTTTCTCCCTAGTTTTTAGGTAAATCAATACTTACTGTTTAGATTGCTATTTATGTTACTATGTGAAAGTTATTCCCTACAGAGCCAAAAATTGGGATATAATTAAATTACCTTTTAATTTTTCATGGAGTTAATAATTGCCTTTTTTTTCATTTGCTTAGTTTTCTGTATATAACAAGTATTCATTCTTCCCTCATCCAGTCTGACAGTTCCTCTTTTTTTCTGGATACTTCCCATCATCCCATGTCTCAGTGAGGACTGTTTGCTCTCTAAAAATACTGCAGAGTATTTCTCCTGACTAGACCCTCTGATTCCTGGGCCCTGTCTCTTCATCTTTATAGTTCTTGTACCCCTCATTTGGTGAAGTGTATCCACAGGTACTGTCTTTAAAAAGTCACTAGAGTTAAAAATTTTTAACACCCTGTCTAAAACCTTCTTTATCCCACTCATATACATGTGTGATAGCAGGTCATAAAATTTGAGGTTGAAAATAATTTTCATGCAAGAAAATCATTTTTAAGGCAGCATTCCCTTGTTCTGATTTTTGGTAATGCTGTTGAGACGTTCCATGCCATTTCTGCTCCTGGCCTTCTCATTCCAAAACGCCAGGACATGCCTTACATGTGTGTCATTATTTGCTGTGCTGTGGGATGGAGATGTATATCCTTCACTTCCACAAAATTTTGTTTCTTGACTGATTTCCTCCCATTTTCTCTCTTCTCTCTGGAATTCTCATTAAACCCAGCACCTGATAAATGGTAATTCCAGAGAGAAGAGGATTAATCATCTGTTTTTCTTCTCTCTTCTCTCGTATTGTCTTTCTGTCCCTTGTCCTGAGGAATTTTTATCTTTCAGCTCTTCTCTGGAACTGTTTTTTGAAATTCCATTATGTTAATTCTCCATTCTTTCTGTTCTGTGTTCAATCTTATAATGTCTTTGAAAAGATATTGAGGTCACCAAACCATCAGTCTACAAGTGACTCCTACAGACTTATTTCAACATCCGCAGAATACACATTTTCCTCAGCTCACATGGAATGTTCGCCAAGACAGACCACATTCTGGTCCATAACATATGCCTTAAAATTTAAAAGAATGGAAATAACGCAATGTCTGCTCTCAGGTCAAAATGGAATTAAACTAGAAATCAGTAACAGAAGGATAGCTGGGAAGTCTCCCAAATACTTGGAGATGAAACAACACTTCTAAATAGCACATGGGTCAAAAAAGAAATCTCAAGAGAAATTTAAAAATATTTTGAACTAGGGGCGCCTGGGTGGCTCAGTCGGTTGAGCATCCGACTTCGGCTCAGGTCATGATATCACGGTTCGTGGGTTCGAGCCCCATGTCGGGCTCTGTGCTGACGGCTTAGAGCGTGGAGCCTGTTTCAGATTCTGTGTCCCCCTCTCGCTCTGCTCCTTCCCTGCTCATTCTCTGTCTCTCTCACTCTCTCAAGGATAAATAAATATTAAAAAATTAAAAAAAAATATTTTGAACTAAATGAAAATGAAAAACACAACTTACCAAATTTGTGGGATGCAGCAAAAGCAGTACTTAAAGGGAATTTTACAGCACTGAATTTATATATTAGAAAAGAAGAAAGACCTAAAATCAATTAATTTCCACCCTGGGAAACAAGAAGAAGAAAAGCAAATTAAGGGGTGCCTGGATGTAAAAATCCATTTACAGGCTAATCCCTTTTTTTTAAGTTTTTGTTTTTTTTTTTTTAATCTCTATACTCAACGTTGGGGCTCAAACCCACAATCCTGAGATCGAGTCACACACTCCACTGACTGAGCCAGCCAGGTGCCCCTGTCTATAGGCTGATCTTAAGAGACAAGACAATTGAAAGTAAAATACAGATTATTTTACTGTATTTGGACTAGAAGGGAACTTAAAGGGCATCTATTTAAAAAGAAACAGTGAACATATGTTCTAGTCAAATATTGAAATGATTTCATCAAAGGTCAGAAACAAGTGAAGGTGCCCACTATTTTTCTTCTACCCATACAGAAGGGGCAGGAAGATTGAGAGGTATAAAAATTTTAAAGGAAAAACAAAACTGTCTTTTCACAGACTATTTTATTATAAATATAGAAAACTCAGAAGAGTTTATAAGTTTTAGGTTTGCTGTACACAAAAAATCTATTTTCCTAAGCCAGGTACAATAACAAAACATTATCAAATACTTAAGAGTAAATCTAACCATGGAGCGCCTGGGTGGCTAAGTCAGTTAAGCGTCTGGCTCTTGGTTTCGGCTCAAGTCCTGATCTCACGGTACGTGAGTTCGAGCCCTGGGTCAGGTTCTGCACCGACAATCCAAAGTCTGCTTGGGATTCTCTCTTCCTCTCTCTCTGCCCCTCTCCCACTCATGCACTCTTGCTCTTTCTCAAAAATAAAAGAAGAAATCTGGGGCACCTGGGTGGCTCAGTCAGTTAAGCATCCTGAGCATGGCTCAGGCCATGATCTCATGGTTCGTGGGTTCCAGCCCAGCATCAGGCCCTGTGCTGACAGCTCAGAGCCTGAAATCTGCTTCAGATTCTGTGTCTCCCTTGCTCTCTGCCCCTCCCCCACTCATACTCTGTCTCTCTCAAAAACAAGTAAACATTAAAAAAAAAAAAGTCTAACCAAAAGAGGCATGATCCTTACAAGAAAAAGTATATAACTTTATTGAAAACATCTAACAGATACACCATGTTCATGACTGAAAAATGCAATTTCATATGGATGTTGATTTTCCCCAAACTGATCTATAGATTCAGTTGAGTTCCATTCACAATCTCAAAGGGATTTTTATTGGTGGAACTTAACAAGTGGATTCTAAAATTTATGTGGAAGAGCAAGGACCAAGGATGGATCTTAGGGAAGTCGTACGATAGGGCCAGGTAAGATGACCATTGAGACAAAAGGGACAAATAAACTGCGGTATATTCGGCAGCTCGCTATCCAGCAAGGAAAAGGAATGCCCCACAGCGGTACACATTGATTTGACTAAGTCTCAGAAACATAATAGTGAGTGAATGAATAAACGGTATGATTCCATTTATATAAAATTCAAAAACATGCAAAACCCATACGAATCTAGGTAATGCGAAGGCAAAGCAAGGGAATGATGAAGACGGTACAGTGTGTTCTCTACCAGGGAGGGTACAGCAGGGACTCACAGAAGTGGGGTCCATCTCTTCTTAATGGGGGTGGGGAGGGAGTTTCTCTTTGTTTCATAAATATTTTCTTACATCTCCTTACTAACAGCTCAATCCTCTGTGGGCATGGGCAGGGCCTGTCAGAAGGATGGACTTCTCTGAGGGTTCCTGGGGGACAAGCCTGCCACGTCACAGGGTGATTTTCCCCTCCCCCCCCCCCGAAGCATCTGTAGACTTTTTCACTTAATCCCATTTTTGGTCCAGCCCCTCCCTCTCCCCTCCCCAGTGCCCCTGAGACCCAAAGCTGCTTGGAATAGCCCCCATCTCTGCCCTAGAAAGGTAGCTGCTTGGCTGTGAGGGGTGGGGTGTGCCCTGGGGGGAGGGCAACCCAGCTGCCCCTCATAGAGGCAGTGGGTCGGTTCCCGTACAGTGTGTTCTCTACCAGGGAGGGTACAGCAGGGACTCACAGAAGTGGGGTCCATCTCTTCTTAATGGGGGTGGGGAGGGAGTAATCTGGCTGCCTCTCAGGCCCTCCCTCTAGGAACATTTAATTACCTTCTAACTCCCTGCTACGAGGGTAAATGAATGAGCCTCCATCCACTTCCCATCGTTCACAACATCATCAGGTTCTTTGGTCTATTACAGTCTCCCTTCTACTTACTTTCTTACTTGTAAATTTATATCTTTTATTTCTTTACACTCGTTTTAGATTTTAAGAGGAAAGAGAGGTAAACCCATGTGTTTAAACTTGCCACATTTAACGGGGAGTCTATTTACTGTATATAAATAAAACTGTTTAACAGGTAGATGCAGAGAGTCCAGAGTGGAGGAGCTTAGCCTCTTGAGAACCATCCTTCAGAGGCCTGAACATCTCCACCTGATTCCTCTGCCTTGATTTTGCTACCCACTTTCCTCAGCTGTGCAAGGTGAAGGGGAAAGCGTAACGATCTGGGTTCAAATCCCGGCTCCTCCATTCACTGCCCCATGATCTTATCACATCAGCTCTCATAATTGCTGCCCCTGGTGCCAGATTAGCCAAAGAGAGGCAGGGAGAGTGCCGTGGTGATGCTTCTAATTACAAAGCGCTGAACCAGGGAAAGAATGTTGCATCCCCGTTCCCTGGATCACTATGTGCCGCCCAGGCCTTCTGTGCCCCAGGTCTGCCCCCGCCAAGGCCACAGGAGGCAGAGCCCTGGCCCCTCACGCCCTCAGGCGTCCTGTGGGTCCCGTGCCTGACAATGAGAGGAACCATAAACAGCAGCCCTGGCAACAGGGAGGGACGAGAAACCCAGAAAGAGGGAGGGAGTCCAAGAACGCAAGGGGGTGCTTCATTAACCTGGCTAAGGGGTGATCAGGCTGGTCAAGCAGCCCCTTGCCAAACCCACCACTATACTAGAGGGTCAACGGAGGCAGAGATGCGGAGCCCAAGCCCTGGACACTGGAGTCCAAGCTGGGCAGGGGCAAGGCCAAGGACGGGACTGGAGTTGCCGAAAGGCATTAAGTACCAATGCACCTCCCCTCCGGAGGCGAGGGGCGGGCCTGAGATGAGTAGGAGCCCCCTCTCCTACTCCCCTCTCCCTGAACAATTCTGGCTCCTCCTGGACTCAGGAGGCCGTGAGACCCACATCAGCTGCGGTCTGGAAGGTGATCCCGTCTCCAGGCAAGGGGGAGGCCAGGAAGGGCCAGAGCCAGACAAGGACCCAGCGGGGCCCCAGGGCCGCCTGCAGGTTGTGGCCAAGGCCCAGATCATAAGAGTGCTGGCCCCGAGCCCACTCCCACGTGGTCTGGCCCCGCAGCAACAGCATCCCATGGAAGAGCAGCCCGGCCCCGCACAACAGTGCACCTGCCACGCACGTGTCGGTCACAAAGGCCAAGGCAAACTGCGCCAGAGACACTCTGCCTGCAAGGAGAAAGCAAGAGGGTCAGGGAGCAGCATTGGGCGCAGTCCCCCCAAAGCCCACTCCTGCCCTTACCCTCCACCGCGAAGCAGGGCTCATTCCTCTGCTGAACAAATGCTCAGTGGCTGTTCCCCAGCCAGCCTGCACTGGTGAGCCGGGCAGACACAGCTCCCTGCCCGAGGTCCGCCTTCCGTTCATCGTAAACTTGTGAGCACCTCCCGTGGGCTAGACTTGGTACCAGGCACCAGAATAAACAGCAGACAGGCCGTCTAGCCTCAGGGAGCTCACAGACAGACAAGAGATCGCTTCTCAGTTGCTTAATCACCGCTGTGATGTAACAATGGAAAAGTACAGCACCTTCTGGCCCACGGTAGGTGTAAGTGTCCACTAATCAAATGTACGACAGGAAGTCATGAAACATTCTACTCAGTGAAAGGAGCCAGACGCAAAGGTCACATATTATATGATGCCACTTACGTGAAATGTCCCAAACAGGCAAATCCAGAGACAAGACTGTAGATTAGTGGTTGTGAGGGCCGGGGTGGGGGATTCGGGGTTGGGGGGATGGGGAGGGACTGTTTACTGGGCACAGGGTTTCCTTTGAGGGTGATGAAAATGTTCTGGAATTAGTGGTGATGGTTGTATGACACTGTGAATGTACTGGATGCCGCTGAACTGTATACTAGAAAATGGTTAAAAGGATGAATTTCATGTTATATGAATTCTACTTCCATAAAAAAGAGAGGCTGTGTGGCGAAATGCCAAGCAGACGTATTAGGCTAAAGGAAGTGGATTTCATCTGTTTTAATAAAGTAACAGCTTGGGTGGGGCCTGAAGGAAGTATTTGCTAGGTGAAGAGGGGAGAAAACATTCTGTCTGAAAGTCCTGAGGCAAGATGGAGGGGCGCCCCCCGGGAGACCCATGCATGGATGTTTCTGGAAGCTCAGGAGAGAAGCCCAGGCCGGACATGCATGGTTGGCACATAGGCAGTTCCAACACCTGCCAGAGTGAACAGTAAGACGGAGTCGGCACCGTGATGTCAGCAGCAGGTCCTTTGGGACCCGACCAAGGAGAGGGAAGGGGCGCCTGGGTGGCTCAGTCGGTTAAGCGTCCGACTCTTGATTTCAGCTCAGGCCCCGATCTCACAGTTCGTGAGTCTGAGCCCTGGGTCAGGCTCAGCGCTGCCGGGGTGGAGCCTGCTTGGGGTTCTCTCTGCCCCTCCCCCACGCTCTCTCAAAATAAATATATAAACTTTAAAAAAACAAGTAAGAAGAGAGAGGGAAACCAGAGAGAAAGAAGGAAACCCCGCAGGATGAGCTGCTGGAGAATCCAGGATACGAGCCATCCAGGAGGTGGGAGGCCAGCAGTTTTATGAGGCTGAAAGGTCTCGTGCCCGGGTAAGTCCTTCAAGAAGCTTGGCTGCTGGGGTGCGTGGGTGGCTCAGTCGGTTAAGCGTCTGACTCTTAAGCATCTGAATCTTGACTTCAGCTCAGGTCACGATCTCACGGTTTGTGAGTTTGAGCCCCCGCATCAGGTTCTGTGCTAGCACCTCGGAAGATCTTTGGGATTCTCTGTCTCCCTCTCTCTCTGCCCCTCCCCTGCTTGCTCTCTCTCTCCCTTTCTCTCTCAAAAATAAATAAACATTAAAAAGAAGAAGAAGAAGACACAGCAGCAGCTTGGCTGCTGACAGAGAAGAGCCAGGAGGCAAGAGCTAGGAAGGAGGAGGATGTGGAGTGACGAGAGGGCTCGTACACGTGGGAACACCTGGAGGAAGCATGTAGCGAGACGCTGGGTTAGCAGAAGGAGAGGCAGGTCCACAGGGAAGCTTCTGAGCAGGGAGGAAGGGCCAGACATCCTGGAGGCAGTCAAGTTGGATCTGAGGGCAGGACGATTCTGGCCGTACCAACTGACATCCCATTTTCTCCGTGACGGACTGAGAGAGGCGGGGAAGAGGAGACTGGGAAGGTCAGAGCTGCAGTCATTAGAGGGAGCAAGCTTACGAGAACCAGGAGGGCCAGGCAGGGCCGAGGGCCTGCGGGGGTCCGCAGCCATGAACGCGGCATGGTACCAACGGCCACGAAGTACCACGCGTCCGGCGGCTCTCAGTGGCCAGGGACAGACACAGAGAAGCCAGGAAGGCACAGTGGCAGGAAGACCGAGCAAGGGGGTTGAGGTGTCGGCAGAGGAATGGTGGAAGTGAGGATTCCAAGCTGGACGTGGGGGCAGTGAAGAGGGGAGGGCTGATGGACAGAAAGGTGAGGGCCGGCCGCTCACGAAGCAGGTGTCCTGGCGTGTGGGAGTGAGGGCTGGCTGCAAGGAGAGGAGGCGGGGAGCGGAGAGAGGGGTGACCGGCTCATAGCGCGATTTGGGAGGTGACACAGTTTGGCCTCTGACAAGGTCTAGGGTGGACGTGGGAGTGGGGAAGGGAGTCCAACGGAGAAGGTCAAGAGGCTGAGCAACTGGGACACTGACTGGGCTGTTCACCCAGACTTTCAGACACCCATGGTTTCACCAGGGCCCAGGGCTGAGCGGGCAATGGCCGCAGGGAGGTGAAGCCGGAGGGCTTGTGTCTCAGCGGAGGCAGGCGGTCATCAAGGAGGCAGAGGAGGGCTGCTCAGGGAGCCAGGGGGCAGAGGAAAAAAATCCCACGGGGCCTCCCAAGGCCTCCGCCCAGGCTGCAGGGAGGGGCCCTTGGACAGAGCTGGGTTTGGAGAGAACGAGGAGACACAGTGACTACTGAGTGGACAAGGAGTTTAGTACCTGGGGGACAAAGCTACACAGGGGACCTGGAGGGGTCAGGAGGAAGAAGTCAAGGGAGAGAAAGCCCAAAGCATCTCAGGGGGAGACAACAAATAGTATAAAAAACTAGTGGGGCTTTTATCTTGGGGAGGGGGGGTGTCAGAAGAGGAATAAATCTGGCATCCAGAACATGGCCTCTCAATCAGCCTTCTGATCCATGGCCTCCCCTCCCAACTCCCAAAGCCTGGAGTTCCCCTGACTATAACTTGCACTGGCTCCCTACTGTCAAGTCAGGGCTGGCTATCTCCTCACACCAGCATTCAGGGCCTCCCCCATCCAGCCTGAACCTACTCCCTGCCCAACCTCTAAGCGTTTGCTCCGGCCGCTCCCCTCACTCAGAATGCGCCCCCACTTGGAGTGCTCCCTCCCCATCCCCACTTGAACTCCCACTAGTCATTCCTTCTGTGCCCACACCTGGAACCCTTCCCTGATTCTCCCAGCCAGAACTCCGTACCTGTGTCAAGGCTCTGTATTTTACTGTACTGCACGCCCAGCTGAATCCCAGGCTGCCCTCACCCTCCATAAATGACACCGGGACTGGGTCCCCAGGACAATCCCAGGACAACCAGCCGGAAGTCCTATCCCCCACGAGAATGGCCCACTGCAAAGGCCTCTGCCTCTGCGGATGCCTCCCAGGCTCCCCACCTGTGAGCAGCATCAGCCAGGGCAGCAGGAGGAGGGCGGCGGTGTGGAGGGGCGCATGGGCTCGCAGGAGGGCCGACAGGGCAGGGCCCAGCAGCACAGAGACGTGGAGCAGGACGCCCGCAGCATGAAGCAGCAAGCACAGGAAGGGCCGGTAGTTGTGGAATCCCACGCAGCGGCCCAGCAGGCGGCAGTGGTGATCCCGACGAAGGATGCAGATGCGGCAGGCGGAGCAGTGCCCACTGCGTGGTGGCACCTGGCTTTGGCACTGGTAGCAGTAACTGCAGAGAAGGAACCACAGAGTCGGTCCCCCCGGCAGCTCTGAGCGCCTCATCATGCCCAGTCAGCCTCTGAGCCCATCCTGAGCCCATCCGAGGGAGGACAGCCGCTGTCCTCACTAAGCCTCAGGTCCATCATACATACAGGCAGGCTGAATGCCACTTCCTGGCCCTTCCAGTTCTAGCACTGAAGGTCTGAGGGCTCTTGCAGCTCAGACATCCAGTCCTAAGGCCTCTAACATCCAGGAGCAAACTTCTTACTTCCTCCGTGCTCACCACGTTGGTCCAAGTCACCAACGGATTACTGGATTACTGCAACAGACTCTTAATTATTCTCCGATTCCAGCTTTGTTTCCTCCTGGTATAGTTTCACGCCAGCAGCCAGACTGATCCTTAGAAGTCTAAGTCATGCCCTCCTCTTCTGCTCAAAATCCCTACAGTGGCTATCCATCTCACTGCCAGTAAAAAGCAAAGCTCTCAATGTCCTGCAAGGTCTTTCCATCTCCAACCTCTCTCCTCCCTTTCTCACTCCACACCAGCCATACTGGCCTTCTTGCTGTTCCGGCAACATGCAAGGCAGATAACTGCCTCAGAGTCTTTGCAGTGTCTATTCCTTCTGCCTGGAATGCTCTTCCCCCAGATCCCCACACGGGTAACTCCCCCACCTCCTTCAAGTCTTTGCTCAAATACCTACCTTGACTACCCTATTTAAAACTGCAGCCTGCACACCATTTACTCTGCTCTTTTTGTCTCCATACCACCAACATCTTCTAACATTCTGTACAATTTGCTAATTTATTAGATCTATAACTTATCATTTGCCCCCTCCCCCACTGAAATCAGCTCCAAGATGTCAGGAATCTATTTCATGGTACCTCCAGTGGCCGGAACAGTACCTTGCACATAGCAAGTGCTCATTGAATATTTGCAAGTGAACGAATGACACTTATTGAAGATCTACCATCCCAGGTTCTAAAAGAGTGTTCTGGCTCTAACACGCGGATCTTATAATCTGGTACTAACATCTTCAGGTCCTAGGGCTGCTCCCGCAGTCCAAGGCTCCTGCTTCCCCCCCCTCGCCAGATCCCGCGCCCCACTCACGCCCAGCCCTGGCCCAGACCGCGGCCGGCCAGCATCACGCCCCGGATGCTGGGGTCGGAGCGCAGGAAGAGCCCCACGTTGCCCAGCAGGTTGAGCAGCTGGAAGGCGGCCAGCACTAGCTGCAAGGCCCGAGCCAGGGGTCCCAGCGGGGGCGGCCCGGGACCCAGAACCAGCACATAGGCCAGCTCCAGGCCCACAGCCGCGGCCCACAGCGCAGTGAGCACGAGGGGCAGCCGCGCGGACGACCCCTCCGCGCTCCCCGCCGCCCAGGGCTGCCCCATGGCCTGGACCCACCGGCTGTCGGGTTCCGAGTACCCCGCCGCTTCCGTATTGGGGCGGGAATAGTGGTAGACGGACGCCCGCTACGACCAATAGAAGCTCTGACGGGAGTTTCAAGTTACAGGGAGCGGCCGGCAGATGCAGACATGTGATTGGACGACCCGATGAGCCAAGGAGAAGCTTGGAATCCCGTTGGCGCAGGGAAGGACAGCAAGGTATAGCTCCGCCCACCGGCGAAGGCCCCGCCCCTCCGCAAAAGCCACGCCCTCTGCTCTGGCTGGCTGTTTTGGAGGATTGAGTTGCAGTCTCGGTGGCGTCGGGGTTTCCCGGCTCAGCACATTCATTCCCCCTCAACCCCCCAGCCGCCCCGATATTAATAGCCCTGCATCGGCTCATCCAGCTGGCCTGGAACTCCTTCCCATGCTCGAGTGTCTCCATCACCCCAGAAAACATTCAAACAGCTCAGCGCCTCGCTGCTTCTGACTGTGAAATGGGGATAGGGCTCTCTCTTTCCCACCAGCGCGGCGCTGGGAGAGGGTAAGGAGGCGGGCTAAGGGGCAGCTTCTAGAGCGGTCTACAGCCGCTGTTGCTATCGTCATCTCCGTTGTACACATGAGGAAACAGAGAGGGCCATAGCTTTCCCGCGGTCACACAGCGCCCAAGAGGCGGAGCCGGGCCGGGAACCCCGAATCTCCACCATGGGATCCACCCCAGCACCCCCAAATCCTGCAGTCCCCTGGCCCCAGGGCAACCTCTCTCCTGGTCCCGACCCGAGCGCCCTCGCCCCCATCCGGCCCCTCCCTCCTCCCCCATATTTAGCGCGAATCCGATCCGGGGCTGGGCCGGGCGCTACTTAACGCGGCCCCCGAGTTCTGGAGAGCGCCGAGCCGAGCGGAGCCAGGAGCCCGAGCAAGATGATGATGGTTATGCAGCCCGAGGGTCTGGGGGTCGGGGAGGGGCCCTTCGCGGGCGGCGGCGGTGGCGGCGAGTACATGGAGCAGGAGGAGGACTGGGACCGCGACCTACTGCTGGACCCGGCCTGGGAGAAGCAGCAGCGGAAAGTGAGTGCTCACCCATTTCCAGATGGCAAAACTGAGGCCTGAGAACCCGGGCGGTTTGTCCTTGGCATCTCAGCAGGTCTGGGGCAGAGCCTGTCTTAACCCAGGGTGCCACGTCCTAGCCCAGGCTCTGCCCGTCAGTCCTCTGCCGTCCCCCAGGGCTGGAAGAGAGGGCTGGGAGTCCTCACGAGGGGTGTAGGATAACAAGTAGAATTTCTGGGGTCCCTACTCCCCAGGGTTCGTTACCAGCGCCCACTGCCCGACTTCTACTGGCGAAAAGGTATTGGTGAAGCCTAAGAGATCCAAGTCTGGGGAGTGTGGGGAAGACAATCTTTCTTCCCACACCCCCAACTCTCTAGTTAAATATCCTAGACCCCACCCAGAGGACTTCCCGCTGGGCAACTGGTGGACCTGGGAGTGTGGGGAGGAGGGAACCATCCTAGACCCCTCCCCACTCCCTCCTCTCTGTTCTCTCCACCCTAGGGTTCATTTCGACTCCATCCCAATTGTCAAATGAAGAAACTGAAGCCCAGAAAAGGGCAGAGATAGAACCCAGATCATATACTGTCAGAAAACAGGTCCCCCCGAACCTGAGAGTCTTTGCCCCTTGCTTGCCCCACCCCCACTCCTTCCCAAGATACCCCTTCCCACCGCAGAGGCCCTAAGTCTGCTGAAAAGGCCAGAAGGTCGAGGAGGAGGGGAGCCTGGGTCCCCTTACACAGTAACCCGACGCTCCGGCCAGATGGACACTTTGTGCTGAGGCAGCGCCTTGAGGGAGCTGGAGTGGGGCAAATGGGCAGCTGCTGCCCAGGCCCAGCCTTGTAGGGCGCCCGGGCCCCCTCCCTGATCTATTTTCACTCCCAGACTTTCCCAAGTGGAGGGGGCAGAACACCTGGGTTCCCAAAAGAGAAGATGATCCGGGCTGGAGCGAGGAAACTTTGGGGAGTGGCAGGCCGGGGGTAGGGAAGACACCATGAAGTCATCAGACCCTGTTCAGCATTTGCCAACAGTGTGTGACTCCAGGAAAGGGCAGCGAACAGGAGTGCTCAGTGGAATTTGCAGGATCTGAGAATCCTAGGGTTTAGAATCAGAGCATTTCTGCTGGGTTAGATGACAGGAGGTGACCCCAAAGTCCGAGAGGCTCAGCTGACTAGGCTGGGGTGCCCCGGGTGACACGTTTTCCCTCAAGCTCCTGCACCTGTCTCCGAGCAGGGCTGCGGTCCTTGGGTCTGGCCATCTCCGGGTGATGTCATCCCTGCCCCTGGCTCCAGCTGCTGTCTCTTCTGCCACAACTCCTATCCCTACTCCACCCACCATGTTTCTCTCATGCCCTTCACAAGACACACGCTAGTCTGTAACTTGCCTTCATCACTTAACAAAATATCAGGAATGTCCTTCCAACTCCACCTAGAGCCACCTGCCTCATCCATTCATTCAGCGGCTGCACAACATAAATGCTCTGTAAATTCATCAGCATCCCTGGGAGTGGCCATTCCGGAGTTTCTTTCTCCTCCAACATGAGCATCTCGGTGCGAGTGCTCAGCCCCGCTCCACCCCTGCTCTTCCTCTGGGTCTTGGAGCACTCCTTCCTGTTCCTGCCTGATGCCTGCGTCCTCTTCATTCAACCTCATTCAAAAACATTCGTTCAGTATTTCTTGGGGAGGTCCTACGACAGGCCAGGCACTGTTTTAGGTGTCAGGAATTCAGCAGGAAACAAAATAAAGCCTCTGCCTCAGGGACTTACAGTTCAGCAAGGAAAAGTGTTTCTACCCCATCCATCTGATCCTGCATTATTCTGCCTCACTGACACCCTTCCTCTCTCACCCTGGTCCGAGTCACCACCTCCTCACCTCTGCCTTCTGTTCTGCCAAGCCATTTGCCTCCACTCTGTAACCAGAAAGAGCTTTCTAAGACACCTTTCTGCCCACCTCCCTCTGCCTGAAAGCTTCCCTCTCTTCCCTGCTGCCTTCGGGATCAAGTTGAAAGTCCCTGGCTTAGCACCCAAGATCGTGCATGACCTGACCCCTGCTGCCCCTCCGGCCTGCTTCTCACCACTTATACCCCAACACCCCCAGCTTCATTCCAGCGGCACCCAGATAGCTGTGGGCCCACAAACCTCGCAGCTGTTTCTCACTGCTGACCATTTGCCTGTGGGGCTGGCCCTGCCTGGCATGCCCTTGCCTGCCCTTCTCCGTCCGAATAAGTCCCGCCCTTCCATTGCAGCTCAGATCAAAAAGTAGCCTTCTCCAAGACGTCCCCCCATCCGATGTGAAGTGCTCCTTCCCTTCTCTCCCTGACACTAGTCTCTCCCAGCACTTCTCAGACCAACATGACTCTTTAATTGACCGTGAGCTCCTTTAGGGCAGGGACCACATCTCATTAAGAGTCATGTTTGTCAAAGGAAAGAATGCCCTTCCTCCCGTGGGACTCCACCGAGGCCTGCCTCTCCTCCCTGCCTTATCTAGACCCAGAGCATCTCAGACTCGGGGATCGGAGGGAACTACAGAGAATCCGACTACCTTCTCTTGACCTTAGGGCCCCAGCAAGTAGCGCGCAGACTTGCTTGTACACCTCCAGTGATGGGAAGCTCACTTTCTTTCCTTAGCAATGACAGTCCTTCAGCTATTTATTTATTTCTTTATTTATTTTATTTCTAGGAGAGAGAGAGAGAGAGAGAGAGACAGTGTGAACAGGGGAGGGTCAGAGAGAGAGAGGGAGTGACAGACTGAAACAGGCTCCAGGCTCTGAGCTGGCAGTCAGCACAGAGCCCGACGCGGGGCTCGAACCCACGAACCGCGAGATCATGACCCAAGCGAAAGTCGGACGCTTAACCGACTAAGCCACCCAGGCGCCCCTACAGTCCTTCAAGTATTTAAAGCATCATCCTTCCGTCCAGCTCTAGGGACAGCTAAAAAGCTGGTCTGAGGAAGGGAAGCCACCAGCGGGAAATCATTCCCAATGACTTCCAGGGCCACCTCTCAGAATTCATTGCTTGGTGGTGGGGGAATGCTCTGAATTCTAGAATCCTGCCAGATTGGAGGAAGAAGGACCTGGGACGTCGTGAAGTCTGGCCAATTAATGGTACAAATGGGGAGACTGAGCCAAATAAAAGGGCAAGGGGTGCACCCTGGGCCGCAGTGAGTGAGTATCTCAACTGGGATTGGAGCCCAAGGATAGATTCGACCAAGGGCTCTGTGGCTAATGGCAGAATCCAGGGCCTGAAGGCGTGATAGGTTGGTGGAAACCTGTGCACCAGGCTGCAGGCCACCCTCGTCCCCAGTACACACCCAGCTGCACAGCAGCCCTTCCAGCCCAGATGGAGGCCGAGGCTGACTCTAGGGAGAGGGGACGGGCAGTCACCTCCAGGAGCTGTGTCAGGCTGGGCCTCCTGCCCAGCTGATCCTCCACGACCTGCAAAGCTCTTGCACCCTCACGTTCTACTTGGAGGCCAATTCACAACAGCACTGGGAGGTCAGTGGGGCTGAGATAATAGTAACACCTGTGCACAGTTCCTCAGGCAAAACCCTTAGAGACGGATGTGCTTCAGTCCAGAATCTTTCGGGTTTTAGAAGGGCAGCATGACCCTGCGTTGGCCCTTGTGTGTCAGAGGGCCCCACGCTTTGGAGCATACGCTTTACAATCTTTCTAAATCCCCCTCATGTGCCTGAGACTGACCAACGCTGGCGCTGGCGTGTGCCCCGAGTCCAAACTGGGACCCGTGTGGGTCCTAGTGCCCAGTTTTCCTCTTCCAGGAGACCCAAAGCTCAGGGAGAGAAAAGGACTTGCACACAAGTCGGTGGCTGGGCCAGGACTTGAATCTGGGGCCCAGGCTCTGAGATCGACCCTGATGTCCCCCCAGACCCGGCGCTAGGGTCTAAGTGCTGTCCTCTCCCCCCCCACCCCCAGACCTTCACTGCCTGGTGCAACTCACACCTGCGCAAGGCCGGCACCCAGATTGAAAACATCGAGGAGGATTTCCGCAATG